TTGCGTATATTAGCTGCCACATATGAATTAAGATGCTATGACCGAAAAAATTTGATTGACAGATGACTGTTGATATATGATTGGCCGAATTTAGGTGTTCAGGGTGACGTATAAATAACTGGCCTACATAAGATAACGGGAAAAACCCCCACAGATTTTAAGACAAGATTATTCTAAAAATAGAAATTTTCTAACTTTTGGGACAATATGGTCTGATAAAGAGTACATTTATATACCTGTTTAAGACAGAATAAAAGGCCTAATTATTTATAAATGATATTTTAACTTTCCTAGAAGTCACAGGTCCTGGAGGATATGGGGGTTAAGATACGATCTGTGTCAAGATACTTGGTTCTCGATATGATATTATCACTATATTGCAATATCAACATATAGTGCTGTATTTTCCTGCTATCAAAATCAAATGTAAAGATAAAAAAGCAACCTCTGTTTATGTTCACCAAATGATATTGATCATTTAGTCATTTTTGTATCCATGTTGCTTGGGGTTTGAGTCAGTCCATCATGTCTTCCACTGTGACTGCCTCTACTACAGACACGGCGCTGCGCCGCACAGCTAAAGGACTCCACAGCGCCATCTACCAGAGTGGGGGTACAAAGGTAGCCCATTTCCCCTCAGTTTTAGGTAAAAATGTTTTGTTTAAAAGAAAAATCGATAAAAGGAACTAAAAGACTGATATTATATCAGGCAGCCAAAAATCACGATATATTGCCAAAACTATTTTTTCCCCCAAACCCCAACTGGAGGACTGGAACTGCACTAGAGAGAAATCGTCACAGATTCTCCTCTCTGCATTCTCCATGTCCTTCAGCCTGGTGAAATAATATAGGAGTATGGAGACGTGCTGTGGGGCAATGACTGTGGCACATATTATTTGGGGGTGAAATATAATTTCTTTCTCAAATTGGAAAACTACAACAACTAATAAATGTTTTAAATTTAAAGTGAGGATTTCCTGAAATGTTTTCAGTGTGAGACGATTCTAAAAAGATACAGGATTAATTCCTATTAACACATCTTCACCAAGGGTATCATTAAATATGGCAGTATCTCTATACTAGGGGCTTTTATTTTTTGTATATTTGTGGATGGAAACAGAACCAAAAACTGAACTCAAATAAAAAAAACTAATTTACATTGCAGTGTAAATAGGCTTCCTTTTTAAATGGACACCTGGCAGTAATGTCTATCAACCAACAAAAGAGGGAGCTGAAGCTTCACAAACACAGGCTGTGGATGAGGTGGTGAGGGTGAACTGAGCCTTTGTTCTGTCAGACCAGCACACCCATAATCAATACCCATTCATCTCTTCAGTTCACCCTTTTAGTTTATTCCTTTAGTTCACCCCTTTAGTTCACCCTTTTAGCTTATTCCTTTAGTTCACCCCTTTAGTTCACCCCTTTAGTTCACCCCTTTAGTTCACCCCTTTAGTTCACCCCTTTAGTTCATCCCTTTAGTTCATCCCTTTAGTTCACCCCTTTAGTTCATTCCTTTAGTTCNCCTTTAGTTCACCCCTTTAGTTCACCCCTTTAGTTCATCCCTTTAGTTCATCCCTTTAGTTCACCCCTTTAGTTCATTCCTTTAGTTCACCCCTTTAGTTCACTCCTTTAGTTCACCCCTTTAGTTCACCCCTTTAGTTCATTCCTTTAGTTCATCCCTTTAGTTCACCCCTTTAGTTTACTCCTTTAGTTCACTCCTTTAGTTCACCCCTTTAGTTTATTCCTTTAGTTCACCCCTTAAGTTCATCCCTTAAGTTCATCCCTTTAGTTCACTCATTTAGTTCATTCCTTTAGTTCAACCCTTTAGTTCATTCATTTAGTTCACCCCTTTAGTTCATCCCTTAAGTTTATTCCTTTAGTTCATCCCTTTTTTTCCATCCCTTTAGTTCATTCCTTTAGTTCACCCCTTTAGTTCATTCCTTTAGTTCATTCCTTTAGTTCACCCCTTTAGTTCATTCCTTTAGTTCATTCCTTTAGTTCATTCCTTTAGTTCACTCCTTTAGTTCACTCCTTTAGTTTATTCCTTTAGTTCATCCTTTAATTCACCCCTTTAGTTCATCCCTTTAATTCATCCCTTTAGTTCACCCCTTTAGTTCATTCCTTTAGTTCACCCCTTTAGTTCACCCCTTTAGTTCATCCCTTTAGTTCACCCCTTTAGTTTACTCCTTTAGTTCATTCCTTTAGTTCACTCCTTTAGTTCACCCCTTTAGTTCACCCCTTTAGTCCATCCCTTAAGTTTATTCCTTTAGTTCACCCCTTAAGTTCATTCCTTAAGTTTATTCCTTTAGTTCACCCCTTTAGTTCATCCCTTTAGTTCATCCCTTTAGTTCACCCCTTTAGTTCATCCCTTTAGTTCACCCCGTTAGTTCATCCCTTTAGTTCACCCCGTTAGTTCATCCCTTTAGTTCATCCCTTTAGTTCATCCCTTTAGTTCATCCCTTTAGATACCCCTTTAATTCACCTCTTTAGTTCACCCCTTTAGTTCATCCATTTAGTTAAACCCCTTTAGTTCATCCCTTTAGTTTAGTACGAAAAATAAACTTTAAACAATCTCACCGGGCCTGTATCCCTTTAGTCATGTACAAAAAAGAAAATGTATTTACTTACTTTTTGGTGGTGATCTGACTCTAAATTGTTTTTTGTGCAGGACTGAAGGGATACACGCCTGTTGAGGTAGTTTAAAGTCTATTTTTCATACAAAACTGAAGGGATAAACGTATGTGTATATGCTTATGTGTATTGACTAAGGGTATGCTGATCTGACTCAGTATGCTCATCTGACAGAGCACCGTCAATATTTGGGAAAAACACATTTCAAGATAATTTTTGACAATCTTTCTCTACATTTTTTTTGTTTGTTTACTTTTGTACCTAGAACAAATTTTGACCCTGTATATCAGTCTAAATGTGTTGCTTCTGTCTTTGATTTGCATTTCATGAATCCACATCTGATTGATAGGAACACCAGCGGTTCTGAGGTAAATTTGTTGTGTGAACAGACACATTACCTGGAATAGCCAACCACTTGGTCATGGTCTGTGTGGCAGCAGTGAGGACCTGATCTTCAGGCACCAGCTGGTCCACCAGTCCTATCTTCAGAGCCTCTGCAGGCTTGTAGAGCAAACCTAACTCCAGCGCCATCTCTGTGTTCCTGTGGCCCACTGTGTTGACCATAGTGTCCTTAAACCTGGAGCAGCAAAGTAAGATCACTTATAGATCAGCCTTGCATTCATTTCACCAATGTTCTCAGGGCACCACCAGGGTTAAAGCTTCTTACCAAAAAGGTGCTACTATGCCGAGCTGCGTCTCATTCAGACCGATGCTGTACCGCGGGTTGTCAGCCATGATCCTATAGTCACACGTCAGAGACATCAGGCAGCCTCCTGCTGGACTGGAGCCCTGTGGAGGTGATGAGAAGAGAGGCGGATGGCCTAGTTTAAGGTATTAACTCTACAAATCAGGCCTTTCTGGAGGCATATTGAGAGAGAAAAAGCAAGTGAAGTAAAATCGGCATAAAATGTCCCTGTTAGCAGAAAACTGGCAGAGGACTTCAAACGTAGGCAGCAGTTTAAAGCATGTATTCATGTTAGAATGACCTGGTCCAAAATGATTATCAGTAGAACAAAGCTGAACTTACGAATATATTTCAAACTGAACTTTTATCATCAAACAATATCATCATAGTAGTTTTTCCTCTTGGTATATTTTCCACCTTTTTTTTTATTTTTATTATTATTCTTTTACTGTCATTATACTGTCAAAAGTACAGAGCAACGGAATTCACTCTCTGCATTTTACCCGTCCTCTTGGGGAGCAGTGGGCTGCCATTGTGCGGCGCCCGGGGAGCAGTGTGATATTAAGGGTCTTGCTCAGGGACCCAGAGTGGCAGTCTGTGGGAGTGGGGCTTAAACTCAAAACCTAAGGATTCTAGGTGCCCTAACCACTAGGCCGCCACTCCCCAAAGCACGGATAAGCGTGAAGTCTCTTACCTAAGTACTGGCAGCTCATTCCTCCCTTCTGGGATACGAACCCAGCTTCATGTTTGCAGGATGGGTGACTTATCACTTAAGCTTTATATTTTCCAAGCGTCTGAGATATTTTTAAACTTTACACTAAATATTGAAACTTTCCTATTGAAACTATTGAACTAAAATTTTAGCTGGTGGCCCTACAGCCTGAATGACTGAGTTCTAATAATTATCGACTTCAAAGGTCTGAACACAAATCATTTCACACCTTTTGGTTTTATTTCCCAAATTATATTTTTCCTACTTAAAGTGATCTACCATTATTGATCTATCACCTTAAGAACCAATGAAATGCATCTAAGTTTGTGATTTTAATGTGAGGCAACTCAGAAATGAAAACTTCCATAATGCAAACATGTCAGGATTGGGTTGCTATTTACGTACGTTAATTGCAGCAATCGTAACCATGTTGGAGCCGTAAAGTTTCAGCCACATCTCCTGTACGGCCTTCCAGAACTCCCCACAGTGCTCGGGGCTCTTGCCGTACATCTCCAAGATATCCAGCCCGGCAGAGAACACCTTGGGCTGGTTCTGGATCAAAGCACGCCACAAACATTCACAGGTTCACGATCATCATTTACAACAACACTGATCAGTAGGGTGATTATGACCGCAGGCCTTACCGAGGTGATGATGATGCCTCTGCAACCCTTATCCATCTCCAGCTTCTCCAAACTAATGCAGACTTCTGTGAGGAAATCTAGACTCAGGCTGTTGACAGGAGGACTCTGCATACGCATCACAGCCACACCTGCAGACATGTGAGAGATGCTGATCTTTAGTACTAACTCCCATTTAATACCATGCTCCTATTTATAGATTCTGCAAAGGAAGCAGGTAAAACCAGTACAAAAGAAATGACCATTTGAAGTTCCTGAGGTCTTTCTGTTAGGATTCCCCTGTTCAGGACCTAGAAGCTACACCAACGTAGCATCTCCAGACCTGTTGCATTACATTAAGCTGAGCTATCTCTATAGTTATGCTGCTATAGGCTTAGACTGCTGGAGGACATAGGAACCCCTATTTCATCATTCTGCTTCATTCTATCTCTATTCTCCCACTCTGCAGAATCTGTTAGTTCAATCTCCAACTTTCTGCTCTCTCTGCTTTTTCTCATAGTAGCTTTGCCTCGCCTGTTCCTGTTTGGCTGTAACTCCATCCTGGAGAGAAATATCAGCTGTGCTGCTGCCATCAACACCTTTGTTTATGGATGTTGGAGATCTGCCTGTTTTCCAGTGTAGTCCTGTTTCTCTGACTGTGACTAACTGGACGTGCTCTCTTCATCCTCTGACATGGAAGCTGGCTGGGAGCTCATCTGCCTGGCTGTGTGTTTCCTGGATGGGGCCGCCTTTATAGTTGCCTTTTGTATCTCTGCTTCTGTCTCACTGAACCCCAGGCAGCCTCGGCAGATGGCCGCGCACAATATCAACTGATAAAGAGTACATTTAAGTATACAAAAACGAAATCAAAACTAAAACAAAAGAATAATTTAAGATGTTCCAGCATATAATCATAAGAAATCTATTCAGTATTATGTCTTCATAACAGGGGCTATAACAGAGTTCTGCATGGCCGCTGGCCCCTACTGGCCCTTGTCTTGAGCTGCCCACTGATAAAAACAACTGATTTTGTCCAACAGAGTGAAGAGATCAAGCAGGGAGAACAATGATGGCATCAATCCCAATCCCACCTGTAGTTTGGTCATAATCCACCTTGATTTTGGGTGAGGTGGAGTTTTTCCTTTGAGAGATGAAGCTGAGGGACAATCTGCCATGACTGCTGCAGGAGAGAAGACCTTAAAAAAAACAAAGACAGACTGTCTCAGTGGACATGTCCAACCTGCACTAAAATCACTGCACAGATTAATTATCCGAACAAGATCCAATTAACAGCAAATCAGCGTCACAAAGAAAACCTCAGATTATGAGGAAGACTTCCTCGATATGTAACTGAATTAAGCAAGAGTAAAAAAAAAAATATACATAGTTGTGCATCTGGAACACATTTTATTCAAGCATCTACTTACAAAAAATAAATAATCAATTATATGGTGTAAAATGGAGATATGTCACCGTTTCATCGCGAAACCTTATAAACAATAAAGCTCTTTGAATGAAAATACTAATACAAACAGAATGGACCGCTGTTAAATTTAACAGATGCATAAAAACCTCAGGAAACTAAACTAACAACACAAAACCGGAGGTTAAAAGTGACAGTATGCTGCGACCTTTGCTCTACTTTCTGTCTCTGAGCGCAGCTAAAAACAAACATGTCAGATAAACCAGGAGGTAAAGAAAAAAACTATAAACATGCATAAAACAAAACTTTGAAAACGGCACAGAAAGGTTGCTAGAAATCAAACCTGATAAGGCAGCTCTGCCTCTGAATGCAGTTCTCAAAGCCATTTTAGGTCGCAGGTCGGTTTTCCTCTTCGTCTTCTTCTCCTTCTTCGTCTTCAGCCTGTTGGTTTGTTTTGTGGAAACAGCGCCCTCTTCTGACCTGACAGAATTCGGCTTTTTAGACAACTTCGAAGGATGACTTAAAAGCACAATTAAATTTAAACTTGAAAATAAAAATATATGATTAAATAAATAAATGAATAAATAAACAAATAAATAATTAAATAAAATCAAAATATAATCCAAACCTAGTCAATGTTTTGGGGACAATTTTATACATTTTATGGCAACTTTTTGTAGCATAATTGAGATCAGGGGTCTTTAAAGTTTTTCAGGCCAAGGACCCCAAAACTGATGGAGAGATGGAGCAGGGACCCCTTATTTATATATATTGTATGAAATTGTGTTATATCAAACTGGTCCTATAGTCCCTCTGTGGAGTAATGTAATGAAAGTAATTCCTCCCAGGGATTATTAAAGTGTTTCTGATTCCTTGTTGATGGGACAGGTCTTGTGAATAAAACGGTGCCCAGCTTGAAGAGCTCCTGTGTGTCGCTGAATGTGTGCACTGATGACTGAAAGACATCTTCTGCCTTCATTTATCTGTTTACTAAAGTGTGTTGAATTAATGTTAATGTTTATTTAAACACATTTCAATTACTGGAAATAATTTCAGGGTGGGGGGGAGGGTATAAAAAAAAGTCTAATAACTACAATTTTCGCGACCCCCATGCAGTACCTCCGTGGACCCCTAGGGGTCGCCAACTCCCTGTTGAAGACCTCCGATTTAGATCATACGCACTTCACTAAAAAAAGATAAACGTAAACTTGATAGATTGTAAAGTGATTACAGGAAACCCAAAGTGTTTTTTTTACCTATTTGTCTCAGTGTAGAGCTTTTTTCAAAAGCCCTTAATTATCAGGATTCATTAGAAAACATTTTTTTAACCATTCTTCCTGTAAAAAAGGAGCTTTTCCTCTCCACTGTCGCTAAAAGCATGCTTAGTGTGAGGGATTTCATTCGAGTCAATGAGTCTGGACAGGGCCACCTTTTACAGCTGCTTTTTGTATCTGTTAGGAATCCAGTTTGTGTGGGTTATGTTTTTTTGTTTGTTTTCCTCCACCTACAGCTGGCGCCTGGTTCTCGTTGGCCTTCCCACACACCTGCGGATGGTTACCTCATTACCGGAGGGCTCTTAAGCTGCTGACTGCCACTACCTCGACGCCAGAGTGTTTGCCAGTTTTGGGTACTCTAGCCAAGCTGAGTTTTGCTGAGTCAAACTGAGTTTTTATCACCTGTGTCTTAACCTTGTTGTTTTTTGTCTTTGCCTCTCGGCAGGAAGTCATCCTGCAAACTGGATGTTTTGGACCCTCTCCCCCTGGAAGGATTGTCTGAGTGTCAAACTGAGCAGAGGATTCAAACTGGTGGTTTGGATCAACTTTTCCCCAAGGATCGTTTGGGCTTCTCTCTGAGCAGGGGATTTATCTCCACAATAAACTGTTCAAGTACCGCAGGAAATCTAAGTGGCAGTCAGCTCCTCCGTTCCTCAAGGAAACACCCTCCAACGAGCAAGTCTATACTGGAACAACCCACACCGACTGGCTTCAAAGAAAGACACCTTTTTCTGGAAACGTGATTCCAGTTGCTTTTATTCCCTTTTTCAAATCAAAGACACATATTTCCCACTGAGCCTGAACTAACCACAGGAACTTCCCCTTCACTTTTCAGTCCCGGTTCGCCAGTGTTCAGAGCAGCACTGGACCCTTCTCTACCAACTCACAATAAACCTGTTAAACCTTCCCCTGGTCTCTCTGTTTGGTTTTCTGCATGTGGGTCAGATCTTTGGATAAAATCATGACAGTTATCTCTGCTTCTGTCTCCTTGAACCCCAGTTGGCCTCGGCAGATGGCCGCTCACACAGCCTGGTTCTGCTAGAGGTTCCTTCCAGTTAAAAGGGAGTTTTTCCTCTCCACTGTCGCTACAAGCATGCTTAGTGTGAGGGATTGTATTTGAGTCAATGAGTCAAGGCAATCAACTGGTTTTCCTTAGATAGAAAACTTTGAATCAATTTGACTGTATGATCTGGTGAACTGTAAAATGCCTTGAGATGACGTGTTGTTAATTGGCGCTATTTTTTTCTTTTAAATATCCTATTATTCTCTATTCCCAGAAGAAGACTGTCTGCACTCTACAGAACACTCTAGAATTTCTTTGTGTATCTGAGCTTCTCAACAATATCCTTATGACCATAACTTCTGTTGTTTAAGGTGCAATATTTGTGGCAGCTGTTTCCTTTCACCCAGTTTAATTTAACTTATACTGTATCTAGCCATCTTGTATTTTGTCATTTTGTGATCATACACTAGCTGAACTCAACTGGACTCTCTCACAGCTCATCTCATATATAGACAAACAGAAATTTAGTTATCTGCCATAAAGGTCCTCACAATAAACTGATAAAGCGGGATCATCCACTGAAAATATATTTAACTCTCAATATAATAAAACTATTATATATTTAAACTGTTTGCAAAGGTCAACACATTTTTTAACCAACCTCCCACCCCCCAAGCCACATTTTAGCAAATTTAAATGTTAAACAAGCATTAACCCATGTAATGCTAAAGTTAAACAGGATTTAGCATTTAATTGATTGACCTTATTGATCTCACAGTGGCGAAATATGTTCATAACATCAGCTTAAACAGTCAAAAGAAGTTTTTGCTAAAGGAACAAAATAGGTGTATGGGATATAAACAGTATATACAGTACATCCACATATGACAGCTTTTTGTATTCAAAACAGGATTATTAAACTGGGTTATTGCACAGGGTGGGTATTCATATAGATGGATATTTATTCCACTGGGTGTCAAATATTGAGAAACAGGTTATTGCACAGGTTATTGAATATTATATAAGTTATTGTCGTAGTGTCACATTGTAGAGTCTGATAGTAGCAGGGATGAATGACCTGCGGTAGTGCTCCTTTTTACAAACAGGATGTAAAATCTTTCACTAAAGGAGCTGATCAGCACCTCTACAGTCTGGTGCAGGATGTTGAAGGTGTTGTCCATGATGGATGCAAGCTTGGACAGCACCCTCCTTTCAGCAACTTCCTCCACTGAATCTAGAGTGCAGCCAAGGACAGAAACAGCCTTTATCAACAGTTTGTTCAGTCTCTTTCTATCCCTCTCTGCCGTGTTAGTGTCATTAGATTAGATTAGATGAGCTTTATTGATCTCACAGCGGAGAAATTCACTGGTCACATATTGGCATAGCAATTAAAGAAGTTGCAAACAAGGAGGAAAAGGTGCATTAGGAATAAAAATAAATAGAAATAAAATAAAAAGAAATAAAAATAAGAAATAAAAAATACAAGGGAGTAACACAGATTTGAGGTGACATATGTACAATCAGGATGGCTTATATACAGGTGGATTGACTTACGTTAAAGTGTAGTAGGTAAGGAACAACGGTGAGGTAGTGGTATGACTATTATATTCACATATATTGCACAGTTAGCATATTGCACATAATATTGCACAGTCAATAAATAAAAGCTATAATATAGCACAGTGGTTTTTACTAGTGTTGCACCGATACCGATACCAGTATCGGACGGGGCCCCGATACTGCCCTAAAATGGTGGTATCGGTATCGGCGAGTACCAACAAATAGGGCACCAATACCATTTTGAGAGCCATAAGTTTATTCAACTATTGTCACCCACTCCTGGTAGGCAATAAAAAGTTCTACTGGATTCACTTTGTATTAGATTTTTTCCTGCTTCCCAAAGGTAGGCAGCAGCTTGACAAAGCCATGATGGCAATTATTTTACATTATTATGGTATCGGTATCGGCCGATACTGCACAGCCAGGTATCGGGTATCGGTATCGGGGCCAAAAATGGCATCGGCGCAACACTAGTTTTTACAGGAGTTATTGTGGTTATAGTGCAGTATTATAGAGTCTGGTGGCAGCAGGAATGAATGACCTGCAGTAGCGCTCCTTTTTACAGACAGGGTGTCTAAGTCTCTGACTAAAGGAGCTGCTCAGCTCCTCTACAGTCTGGTGCAGGGGGTGAGAGGTGTTGTCCATGATGGATGTGAGTTTGGACAGCACCCTCCTCTCAGCCACTTCCTCCACCGTTTCCATAGGGCAGCCCAGGACAGAAGTGGCCTTCCTCACCAGCTTATTCAGTCTCTTTCTGTCCCGCTCTGAGCTGCCAGGGGCCCAGCAGACAACAGCGTAGAGGAGGCCTGAGGCCACCACAGAGTCATAAAAGGTTTTAAGGAGGGGCCTGCTGACTCCAAAGGCCCTCAGCCTCCTCAGCCTTTTTATAGAGAGCGTCAGTGTTGTGAGTCCAGTCCAGTTTATTGTTGATGTGAACACCCAGGTATTTGAAACTCTCCACAGTTTCTATGTCCTGCCCCTGGATGTTCACGGGGGGATGGGGTGCTGGCCTTCTCCTGAAGTCGATCACCATCTCCTTGGTCTTACTGGTGTTCAGAGACAGTCCACAAAGTCCATGATGACCGACCGGTATTCTGACTCGTTCCCCTCAGACACATAGCCCACAAAGGCCGAGTCATCGGAGAACTTCTGGAGGTGGCAGCTGTCCATGTTGTAGGTGAAGTCCGAGGTGTAGAGGATGAAAAGAAATGGAGACAGGACGGTGCCCTGGGGGGCCCCAGTGCTGCAGAGTGCCACCTCTGACTGGCGAACGTGCAGCCGCATGTACTGAGGACGGTCAGTGAGGGAGTTGATGGTCCAGTCAGCCAGATGCTTATCCACCCCAGCATCCTCCAGCTTCTCCCTCAGCAGCACCAGTCTGATGGTGTTGAAAGCGCTGGAGAAGTCAAAGAACATGACTCTCACAGTGCTCCCAGTGGTCTCCAGGTGGGTGAGCACCCGCTGCAGCACGTAGATGATGGCGTCATCTACTCTGATGTTGGGCCGGTAGGCGAACTGCAGTGGGTCCAGGGTGGGTCTCACCACGGTGAGAAGGTGGGCGAGGACGAGGCGCTCCATGGTCTTCAGCGGGACAAATGGACCCAGTATTCAG